TATTGTATTTATTGGGGCAGATGCAACATGTGGGGGAGGTTCGAGGTGGGGACGGGCAAGGATGGAAAGTGCCTTCATCCTTTTGGGCCATCCCGTTTCTGTGCAGCACGAACTTGTCCCTCATCGAGAGATTTTGTTGGCCTGAACTAGCTGCTTAGCATTGTTCGAGTTCATCCCGTGTGCATACCACAAGAGTGAATAATCATGTTGCGTTGCTGCAGCGACCCAAATATCTTTCCTTCGAACAATATTACTCATGGGTCGCAATATACCACAATGGATTCGCAATGTGAGGCGACAGGACATGACAAAGTAATGTCCAGATTGCCACACAAAATGTGACATCGAAGTCCACGACGAACAGCAGGTAACAAAAGAATCCCCACTCGGCTTTCGTGGGGCATTATCAATCGATATTGATGAAGTCCAGTCCCAAGCTCTTCATGGGATCGATGGAAGAGGTTACGACGTCTTGGTGACCGGCAACTGACGATGTTGCTAAACTGAAATGGGGCGCATCCACCCATGGACATCACACAAGTCATGCTGCAAACGCAGTGGTCCAACCGCAGATCGACTCCTCGAACTTGGTCCCGCGGTAAACCTCCATGTGACGGTTGGCCTGACCGAACTGGCCGTGCGTGCGGCAGCCGTCGTCGCCGGAGGTTGCCGTATGGCAGGTACGTCATTTTGACAGTGGTGTGCTTTGCGTAGTTGACAAGGGCGTACATGCCATTCTTGACCCCGGCAGCGCCGGACAGCGAGACCATGGCGGCGACGACGGCGACCAAAGCCAATGTCGTGAAAGCCATGATGGTTGGATCTGTTGAGTGTGGGCAATTCCGTATGGGGTGGTGGGGAGGAGGAATTGGTCCAACGCCCGACGATCTTTCAGCGTCAACGCCGACGTATGGACCTTGGCACTTTTGATGTATAACACGCTGCAAAATGAGACAGCTGACTTTGCCTTGGATGATTTGTGAGTGGCGTAGAAACAAACTTACGCATTATCAATCGTCCACATGACGGCAACGGCTTCCAAGATCGGAGCACACCACCAACACCACCTCAGCAAATGGGTTCAGTACACCACATATGATAACGATAGCTATCATTTGTCCAGCAGCAAGCCGCGGGAATGGCATTGCGTAAGGATAAAATATCGCCCTTGGGGCTTGACTATTGGTGAAGACAAGTCATCCAAAAAGCAAACGTAACAAGCTAAACCCAGCATTTCGATATATTGTACTCCAGACAGTTGTCGTGTGCACGCGGTTTGACGAGCGCATGATGATATCGTAAATGAGGTTCTGTATTGCGTGAGTCGGATGGGGATGCCGCCATAAATCGCCTTTGGCATGCAGCCTCCGTGCCTCCCTTGGGCAAAAACGAAGTCGACCATCATTCTCGTTTGCCCCACCACCATTCTCAAGTTGAAGTTCGAGTAAAACGCAATTGCGTTTTACTCGAGCCCCCACCCACGACCGACGTACTTTAACGTATAGAATAAACCTTCCAAGCCGACAATCCAGGCGACTCGCACATTTCGGTGGGATGTCAACTGTCGCCCCACGCAGTTGGCTTGGACGACGCATCCCTCGTCGCACCACCTGCGACTTGGGACACGCCGCGGGGCGTCGATCCGGATAATGTCAGCGTTGTGATTGGCTAGATCGTCGTTGATTGCTTCCTCCGGATACGTTTTCAGCTATCGGATTGGCTAAAATAATGGAGATTGACATGACATAATTGGCTGAAAAGAATACTGCAAAATGACTGGTCCCCCGTTCATTGGATGGGATTGGGTGGCAAGTGCCCGGAAATCCTCCCTCGACACATTCTCGTATTTCTCGGTTCGAATAGCATGGCTGACGAAGACTACTCCTTTGAATCGTCCGATGCCGGTGCGTCGGAGACGTACCCCATGGAAGCCGGTCAGGTGAAGAAGGGCGGGTTCATCATGATCAAGGGACACCCGTGCAAGGTCGTGAGCATTGCCACCTCGAAGACCGGCAAGCACGGCCACGCTAAGTGCAACTTTACCGCGTTGGACATCTTCACGAACAAGAAGTACGAAGATATTGTGCCTTCGTCCCACAACTGCTCCGTGCCGTTCGTCACCCGTGCCGAATACACTTTGTTGGACATCACGGACGAAGACTTTGTCTCGTTGATGGACGAAAACGGTGACACGCGCGAAGACATCAAGTTGCCGTTGATCCCTGAAGGGTTCGGCGACGAAATCCGCGCTGACTTCGACGCTGGCAAGCAGTTGGCCGTCTCCGTGTTGAAGGCCTGCGGCATTGAACAAATTGTCGCCAAGAAGGAAGACCTCTCGGCCGACAAGTAGATATTTTGGGCTTAACAGACTAGAGGCAATTTATTATCTCTACATGACAAAGCTGCGAACTGAGAAACGTAGGTATGTGTCGTCTTGAGTTTACGAGCGCGTTGGCACGACCACCGCAACGGCCGTGATCGCGGCGTCCCAGACAAGAATCGCCAGGTGATACATCATCTACACGCAGTGTAGATGCTGGTGAATATTGGATTGCTGGTACAATACCTTGGGGGCAAATACACTCCACACGAACAAGTGGAATCGCATTGCATACATGATCGCGCTGGGGCGGACGGGTGATGACGACATTCGGACTCCAGTGGATGATACCTGTACACGAGGCAACTCAACAGCTCAAGGCACCACAAAGTCGGGAGCATGTCGACGGCTGAGCCGGCAGAAAAGGACGCGAGTAGCACCACCGTCGGCCCCGTCATCACAATGAAATACGTGAGGAATCCAACTATGCCTTGAGAGTACGTTGTCAACCCCGTGTACGCCATTGAGATGTCGATCGTGGTCATGAGATGGGAGTTGCCTAGGGCGTAGAACGCACATTTGGACATCCACAGTGTTGACATAGCCGCTACGATGGACACGTCGTCGTCATGACGGCGCCGCCTCTGCCACGCAAAGGAGCATGCTTGTTGTACGCATAGGATCGCCAAAACTGCCGAATTTGACTCGCTAGAAGAACAATTCGTTCGTTACAGGAACTTTGAAACTGCCGCCAACCCACCGTTGAAGGAGCAGACCGAGCAGCCACGCGGACAGTTCCATGGGGATGAAGCGCCGATGCGACGAGGACGTCGATGCTGCGTTCTTCGTACTCACACCCCAAGACGACACGAGTAGGAGGGCGGCGGCCATGTACGTGGCATGGGCAAATGCCGCGACGGTCGGGCAGAGGGCAAACGCGAGCGCTGCAGCAAGCCCGCCAACGAAAACCACTTGAAGCAAGGCGTGCCAGAACATTGCAACACCGAGATGTTGCAGCTTCCAGATCCCATACAGCCCGATGCACACGACGGCGCCGATTTTCTCGTACCCTGGTGGCAACTCGAAATCGTCGAGAAGCGACCGCGTCGTGAGCACCGACAACGAATCATCCTGCTCATATTCAAACCCGACCGACGTGTTCTTCAACGTGGCAAGCAATGGAAGGTCGTTGAGCCGGGCAAAGTTGATCACTTGGTTGCGGCTTCGAAGGAGTCGCGTTGTGACGGCAAGCAGGGCAACCAGGGGCACGTCGCGATAGTCTATTTCCCATCCTGTCATGCTTGCATCGTTCGTTTGAAAATGGCATACCTTTGGCAGCAACGTGCCTAAGCGCAAGAAACATCCACAGCGTCGTCAAGATGAAGTTCCACGTCGTGTGCTCATTCTCTATGGCGGAACTCGAGCCATAGCTGGCCACTTGCATGACGGTCCCTGCAGCCAGGACGACAAGACTCCACGACTTTCTCGTCCACACACTCTCGACTCCAGACGCCGAAAATGACAGGGCCATTCCGAACGCCATGCATGCAATACCCACGACGATCGCGCCTGCATTGTACTCGCTTCCATCGCTCTCCAGTACTGCCGCTTGGGCACGCTCCAGTGCTTCCGTCAACCCTGCCTCGCTGGAATATGACGTCCCTGGCATCTTCCACAGCTTGGCTCGGTCGGCGGGCGACCACGATTTCGTGAGTTGGTCCAAGTTTCGCCGAAGCGCTTCGACAGGTTCCTTCATGCCGGCGGCGTTCACGACGTCGTGCAAAGTTTTGCCCGTGTTGGTCGTGGGAATACGCAGGCCAAATAACGCGGCGAGGGTCGGCACCAGATCCACCTGCAACACGCGGCGAAACAACGAAGACCTCCGTTCACCTCGCGACGGGCCGTCAGCTTCGGCGCCCTGCTGCTGATGCTGCGCAGTTGGGGCGGTCTCGCGCATTGGAGGCAATACAAACAGAAGTAAGGCCGACGATTCCTCCGCGGATGCGCCCCCGTGATTGCCAGTATTGGTCATGCCTATTTCACCATTTACGTCACGCCAACACGCATCCGAGTCGACCCCACAGGTTGACAGCTGTACCGTGGTCGCTGCACAAGACGAGAAGCGTGGGCAAGCTCTTTTGAGATGATGTGGTATCCTGCTGCCGAATCGCGTCCTGTTTTTGAATGGCGTGGTGAATCATTTGCAGCACCGCGTCCATTTCACCGAGCTTGTGGCGCATGGACGACGAGTGCGGCCCATGGAGGTGCCCCACGTGGTCCACGCCGAGGTAGTGCAGCACCAGGACGTCCCAGTCGCGGCTCTTTGGCGATGCCATCCTTGGGTCAAGTTCTTCGTTAAGGTGGCGCGTCACGTTCGAGTCGACAAAGACAGTGTCGCGCGTGAAGAAACCCGACGTAGCTACCCCGCATTCCGTCAGCGCAGACATGCAGCAAACGCGTCCAAATATCGATGGACATACCGTCGTGTCGGTGAAAAATATGAGGAAATAGCGCAAGCCACGTTTCGTCGCCGTACAGCACCATGCGGTACCCCGCTACGACTGCGATGAGCAACTACAAGCTTCCTACAATTTTGCAATCCATACCGTGGAAGAACATCTGCATGATGTTGTCATCGTCGACCGCTTTCGAGTTGAAGTTGCGCAGCACGTCGATAAACGCGGGCTGTTTGCCAGTCGTTAAGGCCTTTAGTCGCGGCATCGTTACCGTCGGCACGCCGGCTTGCGCCACGTACGCGACGGTGCCGTCCTGTCGCGCTAACTGCGCCGTGAACGGCATAAACATCGACAAATCTTCTCCGTAGTGATGACTGCGATGGATGGCAGCATTTCCGAGCACCATGTCTGCTCGCAATGCGTCGATCACGACCAACACGAGTCGGTCAAACGCTTTCGGAAGAGGTTGCGACGACGGCGTTTCATGCTCTTGGATGTCGCTGGAAACGGCATCGGGTGCGAGATTCACCTGGAGGACGTCCATGTCCAGTCCAAAGAACCCGCTCATAATGCACACGGAACCGACGAGCGCACTCAAGCCCACGGCCACAAGCCGTCGCCGCTTGTCGCCATGGTACACCATTTTTCAAGGTTTTGGCTCAGCCTAGCGAATTTCACCCATTTTTCAAACTTCTGACTCAAATTTGATGAAATCCATCTGTCAAAATTGGTGAAAATTGCAACGACAATATCGGAAATAATTCACAAAAATTACTGCGATTCGTTGTCCTTTTTGACGCGTTCCGTCCAACGAAAGTACAGCAATTGAAAAAATTCGATGAAACCTGAAAATATGGCGAAATCCTCTGCAATCTGGATAAAACTTGAAAAATTGGAGAAAGTAGTCCAAATTTGAAAAAAAAACGGGTCGAATGTTAATCCGAGTCGTCCGAGTCGTCGTCCGAGACCAACTCGGTCTCCAAAGGACTAACGTACTTCTTGAGCGCGTTGGTCGTTTCCAGTTGGTATCGGTCGACGAGATGCGGCAAGGCTATGTCGCAGAAGTACTCCTCCTTGAGCAGGATGTCGGCCACTTCGTCGACGTGGAGCATTTCCCATCCTACGATCAGGCAATCAGCACGAACGCGTTGGATGGAACGGGAGAGACACCACCTAACGTGTTGCGCTTGCGAATCTTGCGGTAATCGGCCAAGAGCTCTTCCAGCATTGGATACACTTCTGTCGGTTTTCCGACGAGCCGCAGGTAGAACGCGCCGAGGATGGTCACATACTTGTAGTCTCCGTTCTTGATGAACTCGACGACAATCTACACGCACGAATGGTGAGTTGACACCCGATTCCAACGCTACATACCTCCAAGTCGGGCTGGATCTGGAGCATCTTCAAAATGAGGCAGAGGAACGGTGTGGGTTGTTGGTTTCCGCCAAAGTGTCCCCCAATGTGTGTGAGTTCAATGGCCTTGTCCACAAGCGTTTCCGCCGTGAGCCCAAAGCATTGCTCTACAACAGCACGTAAGACGACGATGGGTTCTGTCGTGCGAGTACCTTTCCAGTACATGCAGTCGTAGATACGATTCCGCAGGATCTTCTCCTACTCAAATGCATCAGTTTCGTCCGCCATTTTCATTCCACGTGCGTACGACAAGGTGCTGTGGGTTCACTCCATGAATACTGATGGCCGTCACGTCCGTCGAGTTCATCGCGTTGCTGTCGCCGACGAAACTCAACGGACGGCGATATTTAATTGTGCATAACTTTTAAAGTTTTAACCGGACATTCTTTATCCGTAGTTGAGACAATGGTCGAGCCCTGATGGCACGTGCTGCAGCGATCATGCACGAGGGATGGCTTGGGCTGGTTGGACGTATCGATGCTTCATTTGCCATCAGGCTCCAAGTGAGCATGAAGGACATGGGCGCATCGTACCTCGTCGTGACGCAATGTGGGAGATCAAACGTGGCATCCTTTACTCCAGGTCCATCGAAACCTCTTGGGGACCCGAGGTGAACAATGGATGATCGTCGGCGTGTATGCCATGGATGACGTAATGTTGTGCACGACGGCGCACGCTCAAGTGTGTCTGTCATGTGCTCCTACAGACGCCCTGCCGACATCATGAGAGCCATTAGTGACTACGTTTCGCCATCTTGCTGCTTCGTAGGCACGATGGCCAGCAAACGCTGGCGACTGCGCTCCCTTCCGGCAACGGTTTTGACATCCACCCTATGGTAAGGATGCTTTAGCCGTGGGAGATCCGTCTTGGTCCCGCTGTATTCAAACGAATCAATGGTTGCTGGGTCATCCTGCGTTCCCACTGGAAGCTACGACCACACGAATGGACACGTACGCCCGTGTCCGAGTTGCTGGCCACAGGAGCTACCAAATACCCAATCGATCAGAGCAAACGAACACCATTACGACGTAGCGAATGGGCCATACAATCACGTTCATTCACATACTAGTGCTCGATTTTCGTTGTCGGCGCGCTCAGTTAGATGAGGTTGGCATACCCGTCTTCCATGGAACACTTGGGGGCGGGGGACGCTACCTTTTTGGCCACGACGAAGGCAACCATTCCGACCACAAACGACACGAGCGCCGCGGACGCCATCGGGAGCGTCGACTGGACTTGCTCGCTCGCACGCAACAAGACTTCAGCCAATATCGTCGAGTGGCTCACCCCTTGGCTATTGAGGAACATCTTGTACACACTCGACTTCTGGCACAGGACAAACCCGCACAGGATGGACGCAGCACGGCCGAGAGTTTTCCCGACGGCGGTGGAGTACTGCGCTTGGAGTGAGTAGCATTGGAGAACGGCCTGCATGCAGTCGCACTTGAGCGAGAAGATGCGGTACAAGCACGCGATTGAGTACGGTTGATTCACTTGAACGGCGGTGGGGGATCCATCGAGAGAGTCCTCGAACCCTTCGCACATGCCCGAGAACGTCGCCTGGAATGCCAAGTGGTTGAGGTACTGCCGGGCATTCGAGTACTCGAACGGACCAGGTTGGTACACGCCGTGGGCGTTCTCTTCCGTCGGGTGAGGAAACACGAGCCACTCCATGTTCTTGACGCCCTCGACATCGTTGGGTGTGATGGACACCCCCGACACGCCCAACGCCCCGTCCAGCGTGAACGTTTGGCTGTCCGGGTCGAAGTGTGGGAGACCTGAGATCGTAAACAGATCCAAGTGCTTCGAGGGCACCTTCTTGAACGAGATTGTGAGCGGCGTCGCGGCATCTCCGTTCGCCGCCGAGTCGATCACGACGTCGTCGCACTTGCCCGTGTCGTGGTTCACGTAGCGGATCAATAGATCTTGGAGGTACGCAAAGTCGTCAGCGCGGTTCTCGTTCAAGTGAAATGGCCCGCCATGACGGGCGGCGTCATGCGCTAGTGTCTTTTCCGCGACGCACACATGGTCGGCCGCGACCGCCGTCGCCTTGGGATTTGGCTTGAGGGTCACGTGGCAGTTAACGCGCTTGGTACAGGAACCGTCAGGGACGGTGCTGGCCAAGGCTGGATGCAAGATCGAGTGCCCGATCGTTTGCTTGAGCTCGGTTAGGTAATTCATCAGCACGTTGTGGCAGCGGACCTTGAGCCCACCGAGGCCGTTGGCGTCGTCAAGCGCGTTGAAATCGAGCGATGCATCGCCTCGTTCGACGTTGGCGCAGTACCTCAAGTACATGTCAGCACGGACAAACGTTCCGCCGACGACGTCGTTCGGGTTGTTGTTTCCGTTGCCTCGGTCGTCAAAGTAGATGGGCACTTCGACCATGACTTTGGACCACTGGATAAAGTATTCGTCGGGGAGGACGCATGAGTACCCGACGTGGGTGCGGTTCCCGATCACGTCGAAGTCGTGCGTACCAGCAATGTACCCTTTGGTCAGTCGCAGTTGGTTCTCCGTCACGTCCAGGAGCTTGGCGTACGTCGACTTGTAGTACGTGACAAGTTGGAGGATTTCGTGGGCGAGACACGATGTCACGCACGCCGAGTACCCGCCGAGGTAGGTGAAGGCTCCCCAAGGGTCTTTCTCGAACGCGTCGTACGAGTCGTTTCTTGAACACTGCGACGCACACCCGCGAAAGTGCGCAAACACAGCTTTGTGATGGTTTGGGTCGAATGCCTTGAACGGCGGTTTGAACTGGACCACGCCCCCGCGGTGGTGGTGTTCCTCTGTCGCAGCCGTCGTGGCCGCCACTGCTGCCGACGCGACAACCCAATGCGAGAGTGGTCGCATGGCAAGGCGCTGTGCAAATGCAAGAGTGGGTACGTGGCTGTGGGCCGTCGCCACGACCGTCGAAGATCGCGACCAAGATTTGAAAAATCTCGCACCAATCGCACTCAGTCGCCCCCACTTGATGCACATCAAATTGTAACCCCCTAAAAATTCCCACGAAACTACCCGATTTTCAAGAAATTTTCGGCCAATATTGAGAGGTCGGACCAATCAAGAGTGCGGGATTCCCCACACGGATATGAAATTTTGACCACCAATGGCGTGGCAGCGCCTCAGCGGCGTGCCTGTCAAAGATCTCACTTCCAAACTAGCCTGCGTTCGATGAAGATCAGCTATCTTCTCACGACCTTGGCGCCGATCGTCTTGCAAGGGTTGAACCTTGTGGAAGCGGCCCCTACAAGACCTGCTGCCACGACACCACCCCCTCCACCAACACCGTCACGAACACCTCAACCAACTACAACACGAACACCACCTACTCCAGCGCCGACGCCTGCTCCAACCCCAGCACCTACTCCAGCTCCAACACCAGCACCTACCCCTGCGCCAACTCCCGCCCCCACACCTTCACCTACTCCGGCTCCTACACCAGAACCTACTCCTGCACCAACACCTGCTCCAACTCCAGCACCTACTCCGGCTCCTACACCAGAACCCACTCCTGCACCAACCCCTGCTCCAACTCCCGCCCCCACACCCGCACCGACCCCTGCGCCGACTCCAGTACCAACGCCAGCACCAACACCGGTACCAACTCCTGCACCCACTCCTGCACCTACACCAGCACCAACTCCCGCTCCCACCCCTGCACCTACCCCTGCGCCGACTCCCGCTCCAACTCCCGCCCCCACTCCTGCGCCGACTCCGGTACCAACGCCAGCACCAACACCGGCACCTACCCCGGCACCTACCCCGGCACCAACTCCTGCTCCTACACCCGCTCCAACTCCCGCCCCCACTCCAGCACCTACTCCGGCTCCTACGCCAGTACCCACGCCCGCTCCTACTCCAGCCCCAACTCCATCCCCAACTCCGGCTCCTACACCAGTTCCCACTCCCGCTCCAACTCCAGCACCTACCCCTGCGCCGACTCCGGCACCTACTCCTGCACCTACTCCGGCTCCTACACCCGCTCCAACTCCGGTACCTACTCCGGCACCAACTCCCGCCCCCACTCCAGTCCCGACTCCTGCCCCAACTCCAGCGCCGACTCCGGAACCCACCACGACGACAAGCAGTCCCGAGCCAGGCTACGGCTCACCCACCACAACCACTGCCGAACCTGGCTACGGGACAGAAGCTCCCGGCTATGGTGACGACGGGTATGGAACCGATCACGGGTACGACGAAGACTACCTTCCGCCGTCACCACCATATCAGTCGCCGACAAGGACCACCCCCGCTCCAGCACACGCCGAGTTTATCAAGTTTTGGAACACGCAGCAATTCTGCGACGCCCAGCTGACCTTCACCGAGTGTCTCCTGGACGTGAACGTCATCCAGGACTTTGCCACGACTGCCCGAGCCGCGCACTGCATCCAGGCGTTTACGACAACGTTGTGCCAAGACTTGTCCGCCGAAGGGTGCAACAACGGCAAGGTCAGCGTCGCCGCCCAGTCGTGCACGGACGATGCCGCGCTGGCCGCCCTGTACACGATCGCCGACATCCAGCGTGTGACGATTGGCGACACCCTCACCCCCGTGAACTTGTTCCTGGCTGACAACCCCGACTCGTTCACACTTGTCAAGAGCGCGATCGCGTCGCAGGCGCTGGCGACGTACGGCAGCTGCGTGACGGGGTCTCTCGTGTACTTTGCAGACCAGAGTAACGCGCAGCAAGTGTTTGGCAATGCCGCTGGCACGTGCCTGAACTCGATCTTGAAGACGTGCACGAACGGCGACTACGACAACCCGGAAGAAAACAACTACCAGCAATCGTTTGCGCTCAGCGACCTCTTGTCCAAGTCGACGGTGTGGACAGACAAGGAGCTGCACGATGGCGTCCAGAGGGAGTTGCTGGCCGATGGGTCTCGTCCCGAGGCCCCAAAGTCCGAGGTCGAGCTGCTGGCGGACCTGCTCCACGACGCCCCTGGGTCGTGGGCGACCAAGTCGACCAAGATCTCGCTGTCCCCGAGCCAGAACGCCCCCAACACGGCGTCCTTGATCGTGTACCCAAACTACTACTCGGCAATCAACCACCACTTGAACCCCGTCGCGACCGTCGGGGGTCACTCGATCCACCTCCCCACCCACGAGTCGGCTGGGATCAAACCCGAATACCTCGTCAACTTTCCCGGCAGCCCCATCCACGACCTCGCGTTCCACTTCCCTGTCCAAGTCTGGGGCGACGATGGGTGGAAGCCCCAAGCGTACGGCCGCGGGGGACCCGGGGCTTTTCCAGAAGGCACGCCGTACGACCCGATCACGCCGGCGGGAGGCATCCGGGACACATGCGAGCACTTTTACACGGTCAGTTTGATCGCGTACTTTGCCGGCGTCGACACGGGCGATTTCTGCTTCTCCATTGACAAGTACTCGGTCGAGTTTGTCGAGTCGGGGGAAGTCCAGGATGTCCGTTTCGAGCAGCTCGCAGTGTCCCCGGACCACGAAGGATGCAACAATCCGTCCCGTTCGGCGGCTCTCGACTACTTGACGTGGGCCGCGGACGAAGCCAAGCGCGTGCTGGATGACGACAGCGCGTCCGACGAAGACAAGGCGAAGGCAGGCAGCGATCTCACGGGGATTCAAGCGTCGTGGCTCGCAGCCAACACCCCCGAGCGAGCGTGCACCCAGGGCTACAAAGTGAGCTGGGACGATCCGTCGTACTGCCCCCGCCACTTGGCGCGATTCCGCCAGCACACACGATGCTGCCGATCGTTTGCCAACGTCCAGGCGGCCAAGAAGGACAAGACATACCCACACGTCCCCCGCGGCGAGTACGTCCCCGACGTGCCTGCTACGTGTTCCACACTCGACGATATCGAGTACACGACAATTGTGTACTCGGAGAGCCACAAGGGGGAGTTCACACTGCAAGAGTCGGCGCTGCAGCCGGACTTCGAAGGCCTGGTGGACAAGACGATTCTCGCGTTTACGATCTTCAAGGGTGTCGAAGATCACTTGTCGGACGACCAGAAGGCCGCGTTCTGGGCCGCGCTCGACTTCTTCCACGTCGACCGCGACACCTACAAGACCCTCGCCCACCTACACATCCACCCGACCCTCCCCAATGCCGCTGAGATTCCCCACCGCGACAACGGCGGCCGCGACTCGCCGTACTTGGACCAGAACGACTGGTGCACGTCAGCTTTCGACACGGTCAACATCAACTGGGGCCGCATCCTTCCGCTCGAGCCGAGCCCCAACACGTGCTACAACCCGTCGTGCTTGCTGTCCCGGTACATCGACTGCGCCGAGCGACCTGCCGTGGACGATGCCGCCCAGTACAAGGCCCACTACCGATACACGCCTGCCTACAACGACGCAACGTCGTACTACCGCAGCCTGATCACGGTCGCCGACACTCCGTCCAACTGGGCCCTGTTGAGCTCGATGGGGTTCGTCGCCGGTGTCGTGGTTGTCGCGATTGCACAAATGGCCATGTCCCGCGGCAGATACAGCGCCGACTCGTCAAAGGCGTACACACAAGTCATGTAGCAACGTTTCGATCGAGCGAAGCGTCGATTCTAGATGTTGTCTAACGCGATCCACTTCTGTACCATGTCTACCTTTCCTTTGAGCCTTGGGATGGATGTCCCAGACGGCTCCACGAATGCCTGGGACGTCAGCGCACGGAGCGACGTTTGTCCGATCAACTCGGCCAAGAGTGCAGTTTCGAGTTGTTAGTGAATTATCCTCAGACCTTTTGACAGTGCACGCCAAACGAAACAACACCGTGATAGCCACATGACCAGCAACCAAAATCGAACCGACAAAGCGAAAACACGACGATTCGAATGTGACGGTGTCTACAAATTACTGATTTCCCTCCGACTTCGAAACGGTAACAATTATTCAATTTTCCCAGAATATATACTTGAAAAGGTATTACTTGTTGAAACCAATGGTTATCAATGGACATGCATGTTACTCGACATTTACACTCGAAGACGACAGATTAGAATCGACAACACCCGTCCGTTCTCAACAGTTCACAACAGTTGTCCGAGAAACAGATCGCCATGCTTCAAGCGCCCAGCCCATGGCCTCAACCAGAGGCACTTCATAATGTCTGTCCTGCTGCCCGGCCATCACGGAATTGATTTGAGCCAAAGCGTTCTTCACCTGGATATTCTTCACATTAGCCTTAAATGAGGCTATTATTCCAGCATCCTGGGACTGAAGGTAAGCTGTTGTATTTTTCGGTAGCATTGCCAGCTTCACATTTGTCAATTCCGTCTCATCAACGACTTGATGAGCAGGTGCATTGTCGACAAAGAGTAGGATCTTTCGGTCATTGGCCGCCATGCGAGCGTTCAAGTTCATCAGGTACGACGAAAAGAT